TTCCTTGTAGGCATATGGATATCACTGACAGCATTGTACTTCAGGACAGATCTTGAAATATCTTTTGTGATGATGAATGCCATGCCATTCCTCTTCAATTTGTCATTCCCAGCATAGTAGATCATATGGTTGTCTGATTCAAAATGGCCAAAACCTGTCCATTTCAGCTCAGTAATGCCTAGGATATCAATCTTTTTACGCATTTCATTTCATTTCTGACAACTTCCAATTTTCCTAGATTCATACATTTCGTGTTCCAATTATTAATGGATGTTTGCAGCTGTTTATCCTCAATTTGAGTCGTGCCATGTCAGCACATGGAGGTCTTGAAAGACTTACTTTATCCATATCATTAAGGTTGGTTCTACTCTGATGAGGCAGCTCTTTTCCAGTCCTATTTTGAGTGCCTTCTGACCCAAGGGGCTGGTCTTCCTGCACTGTACTGTGTCTGACAATGTTTCCAAGCTATTCATAAGGTTGCCCACTAATGTATCACACAGTGTTTCTCTGCTATTCATAGGTTTTCCCTGGCCAGTTTTTGAGAAGTGGATGGCCTCCTCCTTCTTCCAAGTCTATCTTAGTCTGTAAGTTGCGTTGAAATGTGTGTACCATGTACAACTCTAAGGCATTTGAAACACCAGTGGCAAAGCCTCAAGCCTCACAGCAACATACAAGCCCCACAGGATGACAAACTGACAGACAAGTTTGTCTCCCTTAGCTGTTGGAAACCTCTGTGCCCTCCCCTACCTAATTCCTACCTGGAACCTGCCACTAGGGGGCTTGGGGCCTAGTCTTGTCTCCCGCCCCTTTTTTACCTGGATATCCTGCCACTCCAGAGGTCCTCAGCCTCTCCTGCTCCTACAAGGTCTTCCTTGTAGATATATGGATATTACTCTATCACTGACAGCACTGTATTTCAGAATAGATCTTAAAACCCTCTTTTTGATGATAAATGTGAGATGCCATTCCTCTTCAATTTGTCATTCCCAGCATAGTAGACCATATGATTGTTGGATTCAAAACTGTCAATACCAGTCCATTTCAGCTCACTAAAGCCTAGGATATCATCTTAATATGTTCCATTTCATTTTTGACAACTCCCTATTTTCCTAGATTCATACTTCCTACATTCCATGTTCTCAATGTTTGCAGCTGTTTCTTCTCATTTTGAGTCGTGCCTCATCAGGAAATGAAGATCCCAAAAGCTCTATTCCATCCAAGTCATTAAGGTCACCTCTATTTTGAGGAGGCAGCTCTTCCCCAGTTGTATTTTGAGTGCCTTCAAACCTGAAGGGCTCAATTTCTGGCACCATATCAGACAATGTTTCACTGCTATTCATAAAATTTTCCACTAATATATCAGAGAATGTTTCACTGGTATTCATAGGTAGCGTAGTGCCTAAGGCTCTTGATTGCTAACCAGAAGGCTGGCGGTTCAAACTTACTAGCCACTCCTCAGAAAGAAGGTTGGACAATCTATGTAGGGATACCGTCTGGGAAACCCAAGGAGGGGTCGCTATGAGTGGATCCGACTCCGCAGCAGTGAGTTTGGTTTTGCTTTTATGCAGGCACTATTCTGCAAGCCAATCTGAGATGTATTAATTGGTTGGGATCATTTAGGAAGGCGACCAAGAAGGCACCTGAGGAAGGGATTTGGGAATCAGTGGTATGAATCTGTGAATGACCAAGAGGAGGAAGAAAATTCAGCTTCCCGCTCTCAATCCGTTGCCCACCAAACCAAAACCAAACCCACTGCAGTCCAGTCCATTCCGACTCATAGCAGCCCTACAGGACAGACTAGCACTTCCTCACTTTCAAGGCTGTAAATCCTTAGGGAAGCCGACTGCCACATCTCTTCCGCAGAGCAGCTGGTGGGAACCGCCCACCTTTGGGTTAGTAGCCCAGTGCTTAACCACTGCGCCACTAGGGCTTCTTTTCAGTGGCTCGGAGCTCACAAATGTCAAAGCGAGCCCTAGCTCCTACAGCGCAGCCTTTGGGGCGTGGTCTCGCTGTCCCTCTGGCGAAGGCGGGGCCTGCTCCGGGCACAGCAGAGCCCCGCCCCGCCCAAGGCCTAAGGCGCCGCACCCACGTTGTGCTGCTCTGTTGCGATCTGCACTGGTCTGCACCAGCCGAGAGAAGGTGATCCAGGTAAGTGCCGGCCCTCGCAGGTGCTTCACCTCATCGCCCTGCGCTGAGCATCACTAATACTCCAGCGGCCCAGAGCTAAATAAGTGCTTTCATTCTCTCTCGTTTTATATCAGTCGATTTGCTTTCTGTTGTTCCTCGCTCTTTGCCTTCCTTACACCTGCCATGCGACCTTCCCATAATGGAGTGGGTTTGGAACATCTAAGCTAGGTCTGGCCTCGCTATCAATAGCTCAGGGAGAATCTCAAGGTCAACCCTTCCTCGGTTTCTCTCCTCTCCTCCTTTCCCACCGCTGTGCAGTCCGGGGTGGGGGTGGGAGGATTCCCTTTTCTAGCCTCAGGAGCCCACCTGGCCTTGCCAGCTGCAGCTGTGGTGCAGAGGATGGGCGGGCCGGCACTGCTGGGGCAGTTGGCTGCGTAGGCCTAATTGGTAGCACTGGTTTTAAAAATGGCCCGGAAGCGCTGCGACTGTTGCGGATGTGTATGTGTTGCTAGGATCCGCCTCGGAGGGGATTGTGTTTGTTATGCTTCTGCCCCGTTGAAGCTTGTATCCTTGTGAATTGGAATTCGGGGTCATTTCCTATCTTCGGGAGACGCTGCAGGAGAGGGAGGGGTCTTAGGAGAATTTCCCTCTTTATCTGGTGTCGTTGCAGGGAGGGCCACGGCCACAGAGTTGGGCGGCTGCAGGGCGGTGGTAGGAGCTGGAGACTCCTTGGTGAGTCATGCCCCGAAGTTGTGGGTTTTGCTAATACTTGGGAGTCAAGAGTTTACTAGCTGCATCGTTGCTTGGGGGGGCAAGAGGGTGGGCGAGGAGGGGGTGGAGTGTGGGAAAGGAAGAAAAGGAAAAAGAGATGGGAGGGTGAGTGGGAAAGGAATGGCAGGGGTGGGGCTTTATTCCCTCTAATAGGGAAAAGGAGAAGTCTTGGAAGGGAAACACTACTCTGTAAATGCCTAGTTACTTCCAGGTGCTGTGGGCCTAGGTGTGGTTATGTGGGACTGCTGCAGATTTGGGTTCCTTTGTGTGTGAGAGCTGGAGCAAGGGTTTCCCTCGGGAAAGCACTAGATCACCTGGAGCCTGCAGTCTCCACCTGAGACACACCAAGGTCATTGGTCAGTGTTAACAGGCTATGTTTTATTTCAGTGAATTAAGTAAGGAGAGCATATTATCTGAAAACGGAGATCAAGAATGATTTTTCTCACAGGAGTTAAATTTAAAACTAGCATCTAAAATCCAAACAAATTCTTTTACCCCTAGGAAGACAGTGTGTTAGGCTTTTCCTCCTGATGCAATGTTAACAGAAATAGAAAACTTTGTCAAGCTATGTTTTTCTGAACCAATGTTACTATATATAAAATGGTAGCGATACTATAACCAGCCATAGACTTACAGGGGCTTCCTTAGGTGAAAGAGCAAGACTGGGCTGCGAAGGCAGCCTTCCCCTTTATTTATACTTGCTCTTGCCGGCCTAGAGTTCCGTGGAGGCACAGACTCAAAGGAAAACTCCTAACCTGGAGATTAGCACAGAGGGGAAACATCCATGAAAGAAGTACTTTAACCGTTTTTGCAGAGATCCTGAAATGCCCCTGGAGAGAGGTCTGCAGTGAGGTGGATCACAAACCAACCTGTCAAGAAGTAATTTAGGGGAGTGCAGCAGGGAGTGACTGCTGAAGGCCCACGGGGTTTCCTTTTGGGGCCTGAAAAAATGTGCTGGAAATAGATAGTGGTGATAGTTGGACAACATTGTAAATGCTCTCAAAAAAGTAACCGAATGTCTACATCTCCAAAAAAAAAAAAAAAAAAACCCACAAACTCACTGGCATCTAGTCAGTTTCCAACTCACATTTACCTACATTGGGTTTCAAAGGCTGTAAATCCTTAAAGAAGCAGACTGCCTCATCTTTCTTCAGCAGAGCAGCTGGTGTGTTTGAACAACCAACCTTTTGGTTAGCAGCCAGATACTTTAACCACTATACCACCAGCGTTCCTTACTATATATCTAGCAATATGTAAATGTATTATTTCCTTAAATTCATAATTAAATATTCTGACTCTACATTCATTATACTTAAATATTCTGAATCTACAACGGGACACCATTGCTGTCCCCAGTTGATCATTAACCATTTCACAGATGTAAGCAATATTTGGTTTGAAGAATGTACTGTTCTATTTTTGTAGCTGAATTCATTAATGCTATTTATGAATATTCCATCCTCCTGAACAGGGAGAATTTAGTAGTTATCAGGTATTTACTGTATAAAATAAAATTCCCCTTCCCTCACTACCTATTACAGTGTCTGCCTATCTACCCATCTTTATGGAGAGAGAAGAAACACTGAGGAGATAGGAAACTTGTGCTACCTTCCGAATGCATTTGCTATTGGCTAAAACTCTTTGCTGGGAGCTCTGGTGGCATAGTGCATAGGGCATTTGACTGCTAACCAGAAGGCTGGCAGTTCAAACCCATAGCCACTGCTCACAAGGATGGTTGGGTAATCTACTTCTGTAGAGATACTGCCTCGGAAACCCAAGGAAGGGGTCACTCTGAGTCGCAGTCGACTCAATAGCAGTGAGTTTGGTTTTCTGTTTGGTTTAAAGTTACTTGCTTTAAGGATTTCAGCATTTGAGATCAAAAGTATCCCTCTTCCCCTTTTGAGTTCTTTCTAGAGCTGACCTTAACATTAAGTGGAATTTGAGTTCTAAGATTTCAGTGCCTTTGTTTACTCTTTTTTTTTTTTTTAATTTAAATAAGTGGTATTTTATTTCTCCATCTTAAGAAGTGCAAATGATTGTGTCACGGCATCATTCTAAGCACAGACAAGCATGGAAGAGTCAGACCAGTGTTTGAGGCAAGAGCCAGCTACCTAGGCGGTTCCTTCATTCAGGATCACTAACACCCTAGCAGGGATGCAGCAGCTGCTAAGAATTAACTACAGTCTGCCCATATATCCCTGTGATGGAAAATCCAAGTGGTGTCAATGTGACTCATTCCAGATTTTCTTTTTCCCTTCTTCTGGGAATGGTGGCTGATTTGCCCTGTGGCCTTAGGCTCCTGTGTAATGCCATTTAAGGCACAGGTATGTGGCAAGAGAAATGTAAACAAAATGGAGTGTACATTTATTTTTTGTATTGCTCCCTGCAAATGCGTATGCTATGAAAGACCAGATGAGGTTTACTCTTCCTGTAATCTCCACTCTTGTTATACTGCAGTGCTCATTAAGAAAAAAATGGACCTTTTCCAAGTTTTTTTTGTTTGTTTGTTTCCAATAGAAATATCTCAGGCTTTAATCAGTTTCAGACTTAGAGTTAATTATTAGTTCTCTATCCTTGTTAATATATTTTATGCTCAGGAGAGGATCTGGAGAGGTGGAAAAGTTTCAGAAGAGGCCAATTGTGGTCAGACTTGCTCTCCAACCTCTTAAAAGACAATATAGTCTGCTGCAAAAGACCTCTTTAAAGTGTTAAAGAGCAAAGATATCACTTTGAAGAATAAGGTGCTCCAAGGTAGGAGCTCTGGTAGCGTAGTGCCTAAGGCATTGACTGTTAACTAGAAGGTTGGCAGTTCAAACCCACCAGCTGCTCCACAGAAGGAAGACTGGGCAATCTATTTCCATAAAGATTTACCACCTCAGAAACCCAAAGGGGGTCGCTATGAGTTGGAATTGACTCGATGGCAGTGGGTTTATTTTTTCTTGGTTTTAACCCAAGCCATGGATTAGAATATTCTTTGTAAAGTAGAGGGGCAGTGAAAAAGGAAGGAGATTGACACAGTGGCTGAGACGATGGGCTCGAGCATAGCAAAGTTGTGAGGATGGCACAGGACTGGGCAGTGTTTCATTCTCTTGTGCACAGGGTTGTGATGAGTCAGAGCTGAGTCGACAGCACCGAACAACAACAACAACATAGTCAAGGTTATCAACACCTAAGGAAGAAGCAGTCAGAAAATCAGATACTGTATTGCAATCAGCAAATATGCTGCAAGGTACTTCTTTAAAGTGTTCAAGAGCAAAGATGTCATTATGAAGACTAAGATGCACCTGACCTAAGCCATGGTATTTTCATTCTCTGATGGCATAGTGGCTAAAGCATTTGACTGCTAACCAGAAGTCTGGTGGTTCAAATCCATCAGCTACTCCTCAGAAGGAAGGTTGGGTAATCTACTTCCATAATGATATCCCCTCGGAAATCCAAGGAGGGGTTGCTATGAGTCGGATCCAACTTGACAGCAGTGAGTTTGGTTTGTATTTGCATATGCTTGTGAAAGCTGGACAATGAATAAGGAAAACCAAAGAATTGATGCCTTTGAATTGTGTTGGTGAAGAATACTGAAAATACCATGGACTGCCAGGATAACGAACAAATATGTCCTGGAAGAAGTGCAGCCAGAATATTCCTTAGAAGCGAGAATGGCCAGACCTCTTCTCACCTACTTTGGTCATGTTGTCAGAAGCGTGGACCCTGGAGCCAGACTGCCTAGATGTGTGTGAGTTTAGGCTTTGCCCTATGATAGAGCTGTGTGACCTTGAGCAAGTTACCTCTCTGATGCTCATTTTCCTCTTCTGGAGAAGGACATCATGCTTGGTAAAGTAGAGGGTGAGTGGAAAAAAGAGAAAGACCTTCAATGAGATGGACTGATACAGTGGCTACAACAGTGGGCTCAAACATACCTCCTGTTGTGAGGCTGGCACAGGACCAGGCAACGTTTTGTTCTGCTGTATGTGGGGTGGTTCTGAGTTTGAACCACTCGATGGCACCTAACAAAAACAAAGATAGTGGGATACTATGTTGTTGTTGTTGTTGTTGTTGTTATGTGCCATTTAGTCAGACCCAACTCATAGCAACCCCTCCTTGGGTTGCCGAGGCAGTATCACTAGAGGCAGTATCACTACGGAAGTAGATTGCCCCATCTTCCTTCCGAGGAGTGGCTGGTGGGTTTGAACTGCCAGCCTTCTGGTTAGCAGTCAAGTACCTTAGGCACTATGCTACCAGAGCTCCTTTGGGAT